AGAGATACATACATTTACAGATGCATCTGAACTAGCTTATGGAGCATGTTGTTACATCAAAACAATCACACACACCGGTAACATTCGTGTGCGTCTATTAACTTCCAAAAATAAAATTGCACCTATAAAGTCAAGTACAATACCTCGTCTTGAGCTATGCGGGGCCTTATTAGGTACCAGGCTTTATAAAAAAGTAACAAAATCATTAACAAAGAAATTTTCCAAATGTTTCTTTTATACAGACTCTTCTATTGTCTTAGGCTGGTTAGCCACTTCATTTAATCAATTAAAATCATTTGTTAGAAATAGGGTAAATGAAATTCATGAAAATACCGACGATGCAGTGTGGAACTACGTGCCGTCAAAAGAGAACCCAGCAGACCTGGTTTCTCGCGGGGCGAGGGCTGAGTCACTCATTGCCTCAAATCTGTGGTGGACTGGCCCCACCTTTTTACATTCACTACATACGCACACATCGATCAATCCTAACACATCCACTCAAAGAAATTTGCCTCTTCCAGAAATGTCATTCTTTCTCGATGAAGTAGAAAATTCAATAATAAACTTGATAGAGAGAATTTCTAATTTCTCGAAATTAATCAGAATAATAGCATACGTAAATAGATTTATAAATAATGTAAGAAACAGAGAAATTAAAAACAAAGATCACTTATCTTTATCAGAAATAATGCTAGCGCATAATAAATTAATTCGCATCACGCAACAATATATAATGTTTCCGGAAGAATATCACATCTTAAGTTCAAATCAATCATTACCATCAAAAAATAGAATTTTATCACTTTCCCCTTTTCTCGATTCAGACAGGATCATTAGAGTAGGGGGTCGACTTCACAATGCAAATTATAGTTATGATGTAAAGCACCCAATCCTTCTATGCAGTAAGCATACTCTCACGAAATTAATATTTAAAATGCAACATATAACGTCACTTCACGCTAGCCCTCTTTTATTACTCTCTCAAGTACGACAAAAATATTGGGTACTCGGGGGAAGGAATTTAGCCAGACGCATAGTACGTTCATGCATTCGTTGTGTAAGACAAAAGGCCACAACTACACAACCAATAATGAGTAATCTGCCTTTTGAAAGACTAAATTTGGAGTTTCCTTTTCTTAACACGGGTGTAGACTACGCTGGGCCAGTGATGATTGTCAATCGAAAAGGTCGCGGTGGCCGACTAATCAAATCCTATATTTGTGTTTTTGTTTGTTTCGCAGTTAAAGCGTTACATCTGGAGCTCGTCTCAGATCTCACAAAAGAATGCTTTCTAAGTGCTCTCAACAGATTCATTGCTCGACGGGGCAAACCACACACGCTGTACTGTGACAACGGGACTGCGTTTGTGGGCGCTTTTAATCACATAGTATATAATTGTAGAGACGACATGAATAGTCAAGGTATCAATTTTAAATTTATTCCTGCTTACTCTCCACATTTTGGTGGCTTATGGGAGGCCGCTGTAAAGTCTGTCAAATTTCATTTATTTAGAATATTAGGGCAATCACATCTCACTTATGAAGAAATGATAACTTGTTTAACGCAAATTGAATCTATTTTAAATTCTAGACCTCTAACCCCTATGTCAACAGACCCGTCTGACTTGACCTTTCTTACCCCCTCTCATTTCCTTATTGGACGGTCGCTCACGTCGGTACCCTATCCGGATCTGACGGATGTCAACATTATGACACTTCAGCGCTATCAGCGGGTCGAAAAGCTAAAACAACATTTTTGGCAGAGATATGCTAACGAATACGTATCTCTACTTCAACAGAAATGCAAATGGAAGAAATCTTCAGGCCAACTTCAAGTCGGGACCATGGTGGTCATTAAAGACAAGACGTCACCACCGATGGTATGGCTTCTGGGTAGAGTCATAAAGCTTATCCCTAGCTCCGACGGCATAGCGAGGGTGGCTGACATCAAAACCAGAAAGGGTGTGCTCCGGCGAGCTTACAACAATATATGCCCACTTCCAGTCTTCTCTTCTTGAAGATGATTCTTCAACGCCGGGGAGTATGTCTGCGCCTACACCTGCATCACTAGCGAGGAGGGGGCGCACATCACTACGCCGGACCCGGCTGCCATGGATGCCGGGTGCGGCGCGGCGACACACACACTCAGACGACGCACGCATACGCATTCGGACTACTCGACGCGACATATTCTTATATTGAGATTTTCCTCGAATTACAGTCCATTTAAAGTCTTCGTTTCTTTTATTTTTATCTTCAAATAGTCTCAAACACGAGGACAAACCATTTGTCGGGAGTGTAATTTTGAAAATATCCTTTTTTGAGGAGCCGATGTATAATAGAAACCTAGTGTTTCTTGGCAACAAACAAGTATACAAATAATACCTACCTAATTGGATAACAGAAACACTTTTACAAAAAAATTTAAGTAAAATTGTTGTATTACTTGTGTTTAAGTACATGTAATATAAAACTCACATTAGATGAACAAGGTTTCTGCCCGTATTTATGATAATTGTACAGATTAAGTGGCATGGAACCCTGTACAGTACAGTCAAAGCCTATATTGAAACGAAGCCTAAAAGATAACTTTTCATTTCATTAAGTCGCCGACTTTTAATTGTTTGCGTTTTATATCAGATTAATTTCCCCAAATATTAAATATTTTTCAAGCCTCAAACATTATTAATTTAAACTTAATTTAGCCACAAACCATGAACGAAACAAAGTTCATCTCAATTTTTCTTGTGCGCATTTAGTGAAGAAGGCCTATGCCTGGATCTATATCCAGCTAAAACCTTATGCGGATGTGATGGAATAGAATTAAGAAGTTCTTCAAACTCTTTTAAACATATTTTTAGTTGAATAAGGATGACGACTGGGTAAAAAAATGCAATTCTATTGAGTCCGTCAGTCAGATAATAGAAAAATATTAGATACGTATTTTTTTTTACTTCAATTTAACAAGAAATAGCTTAGATAACGGGCATTAAAGTGGGGGCTCGCTACGTCACAGTTGAGTAGAAAATGTACCATAACGTGACGTCATGCGAAATTTCAACTCCATGTTACGCCGTAATTTTATGAATACGAAAAAAATAAAAAAATACTTGTTTAATATTATTTAACATACTACCTGACGGACAAACAAACAAAAATTAGTCATCATCCCTATTATTAAGACTATAAGGTACCTTAATGATTAAAGCAATAAGAATATATATTTCACAGAGCAAGGATGAACATTGATCGATAGCTTGTTATTGTTGTGATGATAAATCTACATATTTGGTCAAAATCATCATTTCGTACATCTTTCTTAATAATAAAAGAAGTTTAGGCGTCGGGTAATAATGGATAGTTCTTAACGGTATCACATTGATCTTCTGTATCTGCTACAAATTGAATTATGATAACTATGACAATAATATTTGCCATATAAAGAACCTAACCTATAAGAGATACATATATTAATGTTATTTTGTTTAAATAGATGTTATTATTTTTTAAGTTTTTAATGGAACAAAATCGTATATACAAATTAGTTCCAATGAAAAAAAACGTAAATTTACATACGACAGCTTTGTAAATTTTACTTGCACTTTTTATAATAAGGTGAAAGTAAAATATTCCATTTAAAAATGGCTTTCTTTATTTTTAGAATAACAAAAAGAAAATATTTCAAACCAATAAGAAAACACGATCATATATAAGTTCCATGATTTTCATAGAACAATATCTTATAATGGCTAACGACGTTAATTGTTAGTTTTAGGTGTTTTGAAAATGAACAACCGAAAAAATTTACAGATCATACTTTGTAAGTTTTATTAAAATTTCAAAAGTGAGAACTATAATAATTACTGCAATAAATTGGATTTTTATGATCTGATTTTGTATCAAAAGTGGAGCCAACATTATCGTTTTTGTCTAATTTTAGGGCTAAATCTAAAATACTTTTTTCTCTTGATAAAAAAAAATATTTTAGATTGGGCTTTCTTTGCGATACACGTACTGAACGTACTGAATAGTCTTCACACTTTTATGTTATATTTTATCATTACTATCATCGTAACAATTTCCTGCTATTAAAATAACCGACTCTGCGGAGTACAAACGTGCATCTAACTTTAGAAGTCGGAGCGCAAGAAGTGAGCCGAGATGAAAAAACTCGTATATTATCATACATTCTTCTACGTTGAATAACATTTCAAATACAACAATGTTTGATTAGGTAACTCTTCAAGTAAGAGCTTATATATTTTTAGTAAACTTTATATTTTTAATAAATTATCCCTATTTACGATTTTATCAAGGGAACTTGCAGATATTAGGAGGCCCCCCACCGCCTCATCCCCCTTGATAATAAAGTTTCGATGTTGATGGAGTCTTAGAGATGCCGTCGATTTCACACCATTGCGAAATAATTTAATATGCGCCGAAATAAGTTTCGTGAAACTTTCTTTTATCATGCATGATACTATTTTCATAATATAGGTATCTGTCATTTATACACTCGAACGTGGAGTATAAAAGTAAATTGTATTGTGTACCCAAGCATCCCTAAACTCGTGCCATTACCAAAGAGAAATCTGAATAGGTGCGTGTAGGTCGAGCGTTTTATATGAAGCACCGTTGAAAGCGAACTTTTGATTTCCCGTGCTTTTATATTCATTTCCCATAAGCCTATTATACCGGATTTTTTGTATAAGGACCGACATTCGGTATTTTTTTCCATTATGTAAAATCAGAGCGTCTATTATGTTAAGATGCGTACATGAAATCATAATAAATGTATCATAGTCTATATATATAAGAAGAAAATAAAATTAATTAAATAATAAAATAAAAAAAATAAATAAGAAGAATATAATAACACAAATTTTAACATTATTCGGAAACGTATTTTTCTTCTTTCTTTCTTGCAATTGAAAATTGCTAATATTACTGCTTTAGTTTTATTCTCTATGATTACTGACCTTAGAAATAATATAAACTGGCCTATCCTTGGTTTTGAGTTATGATTATATTTGAGTGTATTAATCTACGATAGAATAGAGAAAATTTTATAGGTTAGTGGAATACTAGTAGTTTGGTGGCGTAGTGGAAAAGCGCCGGTGCCCGCGTTCGTTGTTGCAAAGCAATTAATTGTTGGACGGGTGACCAAAAAATATCATCTCACGCTTCGTGCTTTGGAAGGCATGTTAAGCATTATCTTAAAATACGCATAGGGTCAGCGCGGAGGGTCATGGTCCATCTTCCTTAACCATCCATAAGGAAGGACTGTGCCCTTAAAATGGGGGCGTAAAAGGATGAAGAAGTGGAATACTTACGATATAATTCTATTTGCAGGCTCGATTCTATTGGTGGTCTGAGATGGGTGTTCGATGCTTTACACGTGAGCGATTCCACGTTGTCACGAGTGAGGGGCAGGTACAGTTCGTTCTCCCTCACGCTGGGTATGTCGCTTACACCGTCTGATGCGTCCACTAAAGTCTTTCCGGAGTACCAGCTGATGCGCGGAGGTGGACGTCCTTCAAAAAAAAAATCCAGGATAAAAAATCTTCTTAACGGGTTTAAAGTATTAGGGTATTCTATAATTCATTCTTATAATAAAAAAATTACGAAATGTTGTCAAGCAAGAATCAAAGTTGGACCAAATAACATACAAGTCACTATTATTGTGTATGAATATTGCGAAACACGATTTCATAATTTCCAAAAACAACATTACAAATTAATGAAATGAAATTAGTTTTTCCACAATATTGTGTATTGTGATGAATATTATGTAATACCATAGCAATTGCATACATGTAATATAAACAAAATCTTTTTAATTATACCTACGCCGACGTCTTGTATGTAATGAAACATTCTTGGCGCAGATTACCCATAAATAAGCAATAATATTCTTTGTATTATTAACCTAAATAAAAATTAATCATTTGAGACAGAATTTCGTCGAAAAAGTAAATTTTGGCATCTACAAGTTTCGTCGCGTCGCCATTTGATATCCTATTAATATTATAAATGTGAAAGTTTCTTTGTTTGGATGTTTAGATGTTTGGATGTTTGTCCGTCAATCACGCCGAAACTACTGAACGGATTTTGATGAAATTTGGTATACAATTAGGGTATTAGCTGACTTAGATAATAGGATACTTTTTATCGCACCAAACATTTCCCTAGAGGACACGCGGGCGAAGCCGCTGGCGAAAGCTAGTTATATTTGTAGCCTATATCACCATATGATGTAGCTTCCCGTAGGTGTATTTATCTGTCCAACTAAACCGACCAACTGGTTGTGCCATTCCATTATTCCATTCCGACCAACGAAACGAATAAACTAGTGCGCGTGAGAATATAAAAAATCACTATATTATTTCTCACTTTTTTAAAGTATGAAGTCGGTGGTTCTATTTAAAAAAATATTACAAAATATTTTAGTGATACTTATATATTTCCTTTAAATAACATTATGCAATTCCTAAGGCTTTTGTGTATTTGCAAGATATAATACATATTTCCAAAAAGTAGTTATTTGATATAAAATTGGTTATCAATATGGAGTCAAATCTGTTAACATACCTAAAAACATCTGATGTATGTTTATTTCGTCGAACATCGAACCTCCTATGTATCGATTTTGAAGTTGATTAAGAAGTTGTACTGATGAGAAAGAAAAATAGTTGATCCGTTTGAAGTTATGCGGATGGGAACAAATTTAAATTAATAAAAATTCCTATCGGATCTACCAAAAATTTTGGTTCCTTGAGAAAGTAAAATAGTTAATCTGTTTTAGTTGGTCAGAGTGGCGGGATAAGTATTTATGTCATAGTTGAAAGAATTTTTGAAATTGGTTCAATAGTTCCGAAGCTTATTTAATGTGAACAATTACTCAAAATACTGTCGTATTAATATGATCTTTAAAATATTACTTGAACCTTGCACATTCGATAGGAATTCTTTCGTGTATTAATGCATGTTTCTGTGAGACGTTTGTTGTTAAAAAGGGACTTCAGTCTATTAATGAAAAATTTACACGCCATCGGTAAGTCCTGTCAAAGATTTTGCAAAGATTGTCATGTATTGCATACTGATGTGCTCCTGTGCATAGAGTTTTTAACTCTAAACAGCCTTTATAAGTAGCTTTCGAAGTTAGATTCCAATAAATTGAAAATCTCAAAGTATATTACTGAAAAGACTTAAGAAATCCAACAAAATGTAAAGTTCAAACTCTGTTCGAAATATGTACAACAACAATTATTATAGGCGCCGGTTTGACTCGCCGTTACAAAGATTGATGGCTCGAAGTTTAAGCAAAGTCGGCAAACTTCGTTCACAGTTTCGGTTCCTAAAAGCATACTACTGTCTTTAACATTGCCGGCTGTTTACTTCTGTCGGTTGACTCGTCTGAGGAGATATTGTTAAGGATATAAAAAACGATAGAATTTTTTTTAATATAATTTTAGAAATGATTTTAACTATTCGAGCTTGACAGCGTAGTGGATAGTACTCGTATGTACAATCTACAATGCAATTTTCGCAAGGCTGGCTAATGTTCTGTAGCTCAACTCTGCAAAAGTTTACGTAATAATAGTTTTAATAGAATCTTAAGTACTTGCATTTAGCTATTGTATTGTGTGTAGTTCAATATTACTGTCACCATTGATGGGCGAGGAAGACTTCAGGTGGAAAGTACAATGGTAAAATTCAAATAGTTAAGATTCTGTTGAGATGCTATTATTACGTAAACATATTGACACAGATCTTACAAAATAACAAACATTTCTGTCACCATTGATTTGCGAAGAGGACATAGCATAAATAATATAATGCAATTAATTCAGACGCTATTATAAGATGATCAGACAGAAATTAAGTATCTCGGTTGCCATCGTGCTTTTTCTGACTGCTGTCGTTAACACCCGCCAATCCATGTTGGGCTTGGTTATGGTTCTTTCTCTCTATTCGATTTAATTTATACAGAACGCATGTGCTCCTCCAGCTGGGAAATTAATATGCTAATCATGATGATACAATAGTACTAATATACAATTATAGATAATGAAAGGAAAAACTGGTAGTATCAAACCAAAACAGGTATTTGAAATGAATTATGGAATGCAATAAAAGAATCGAATACTCGACGGCCTCGATGACAGAGGACAGAAAAAACGTCTTGATGTGTATTGTAAAAGATTTTTCTACGTTTATAACAAGGTGGAATGGCTTTTACTAACAACACTAACACATTATTATTATATGTTTAAGTCACGTATTGAGTTAAACGTTCGTGTCACGAAAGAGTTCCTTATACAACTCATATTAGTCTGTCTATATTATGCCGCTATCTATCTTGTAGTAAGAAAACCCACAATTTCTAGAAGTTTGAGTGGTAAAACACAACTGAAATATATTTTAGTTTTATGATACTAATAGTATGCTTTCTAATAAGGATAATAACTTGTTTTTGTATACGTCGGTAACATTATTGAAGAATATTAAATATCAATTATTTTTGCTTTATCTATTAGCTTTATACCTTTTCTACATAATTGTGACGTAACGAGCCCCCACTCCTGAACTTTATTATGAAATCAATTATGAAGACAATTGTGAAAGTCGTGAGCTACACCATCGGTTTTAATGCCTGCTGTAATGACTACTATCTAAGCCACTTCTTGTTAAAAATGAAGCAAAAAAAATTACGTTTCTATTATTACATTGACGAACTAAATAGCTTTCTTTTTTACTCAGCCACCATCCCTACTACAGATATTTAGTAATTTAGACCTTTAAAAATAATGTGATGTTAAGCGGCAATACTTTAACTGAATGAGAATGAACTTACCTCCTATAACAAGGCAGCTGAGTACCAAAGTGTCTCCTTCGTGATACGGTCCAATTTTGTCCTTAACTTTGTTTCCCAGTTCGTCCAGGAAAAAAGGCTGGCTAGGTAGCACTGGAACAAATATTAGATAATTTACTTAATATCAAAAATAAAAAATATACTTTCTGTAATCTGAATACCTTGTGGTACAGATTAAAAAAGGTTGACATAAATAAGACCTCTCTTTCTTGGAAGCCTAAACAGCATGTCATGGGTTAACACCCCATCACAGTTACAACCTGCATTGGCGTGTCGGTTTGCTGTTTTGGGGAAAACACTGTAATGCACCTAAGCTTTCTTTCCTTAAGAGGGCTATCCTCCACTTCAGGGGTTCCTAAACGTGGATTGGGTTCGAGTCCTCCTTGCTAGCTACCGTGTCCGTAAATCCAAGTGAGGTTTACCTCAGCGAGCTTTATAGGGTTGGATAGGTTTATAAGGTAGCCATAATTGTCCTCGCCCTTCCAGGCACGTCCTAATGGTTGGAGAATCCATATTTCAGGCATAAATGTACAAGATATATCAGCCGCTGTGCAAGCAAGTAACCAGCGTTATTGAAGAATAAGACTTATTGCTCATAATTTCACCTGTGTAGATATCAAAATCGTTACCCCTAGTTGGATGGAAGATGGATTATTCCTCTTCATGGAATAAAAAAAATGTAAAATATATCCCAAGATAAATAAAGGTTTGTTTAATTTAAGTGTTATGTTACAATTATGAAATAAAAATTAACATTTAACGGTGGACTCGACTGTCAAAATAAAAAACGAGAGCTATAAAAATATACAGAATAACATTAAAATTTAATTTGAGTTGTAATTAAGTTGAAATAAAATTAAATTGATAATCAATATTGATGTAAGAATTTCCAACGAACTACTATTTTGGAATCCATTAACGAAATGCAAAATGAAAAGTGAATGCGTAGGTACGGGAATTGAAACTTCGAAGCGTCTTTTTGCTGAATTTACATAGCAATAATAATTTGAACGGCAAGCAATCCCTAAGGGCTAGTGGCTCACTCTTACAAAATACACATTTGCATTCGTTATGCTTCATTAGGTAAAGCATATAAATGCTTTAACGATAATGCGAATCGTCGAAATGTGTGTAGATTACTTAAAAGGATCCAGTTTTAATATACGGTCATAAAAGAGGTTGAATTTGTATCTTGTAGTAAATAATTTCATTAAAATATATTTGAACTTGATAACTCAATAAGTTTTACAAATATTAAAGTTACCAAATATGGAATATGATCCCTAATATAGAATCCCTATTGAAATTCTTTCTTAAAGTATTCTCATTTAGGAAATTTATATATAAAATGTCAATATTTCAAAGAAGGTAAAGGTCAGAATCCATAAAAAGCAGCGATTTTATATGAAAAGAGTAATTAATGATGCGAAAGATGCAAGTAAGGACTAAGGACATTGTAGCGTTCGGTCCTCTCTGTCAACTCCGCAAGGGATACGGCGTGAAGATATAAAGGTAGATTTGCATTTATTTATTTCATTTATAGATTGATATATAGATTTCAAATAAATTTTTCATCTGTTTACGGAATAAGCTAGACTCATTTCAGAGTGTATAATTTTTTTTATAAAGAATGATGTTTATTGTAATTTTAGTATTTCATTTTAGGTATGCTATTCCTCCTTAATCATCCATACGTAATAGGGTTGATAATGCTATTCCATATGTGGTTAATTTCCTATGTATTTCTTTAGAAATAATACAAATTGTAAATTATATTCTACATCATCGAGGAGCGAGTTTCGCGAGTTTTAAGTGCAATCTTGTTATATTCGATTGGAATCCTTTTATTTCAATGAAATTTTATTGTTTACGAGTTTTGGTTCATAAAAATGTTATTTTGTGAAACAAAGTATTATGCAGATGAAGGTTTGATTAGTTCAGTGGAATAAGACAGTGTATAGAATCGTAAACGAGAAAAAGGCGCTGTAAATTTAGTACGATGGATGTGTGAGTCACTTTTTCCGGCGGGTTTGTCTATGCGGGATCATAAAATATTTCAATTAGCTCCAGATAAAATACATTATCGTTAAGGCAACTTAAAAAAAACTAAATATGGGTTTTATAAAATTCCTTTGCCTCTGTCTTTACTTTATCGAATTTTTGGTTTAAACAAAACGAATGTTATCTGCTTTATCTCATGAAATTAAATATAACCAATGTATGTATCCATTTGAAAATTTATTGAAATATTATTTTTCAAAAACATTTATATATTGATGTTATACTTTCGTCATTCACGAGAAGTGTTTCTAATTAAATGACCACTATATGACTTTGAAATATATAGTAAATCTTTTACTAGAAACTTATGGGTGATCCAACTTTTATTTGGTTATCTTAGCCTAGTCTAATATATATCATAACTAATAAATAATTAAAATATGCCTAAAAACGAGGAACATTCGCAAGAAAAAATATTATTAAATCAGGAATTGACAACGTTAAGGCACGTGAAGCCTCAGTTTCTTACAAAGCCTCTTTACGGCATTTTCCTCTACGAAACTTAATATAACGTAAGACTTAATTTACACTTTGAGTCATTATAACAAATTATATTTAATTACATTACCTTTTGTTCTACGGACACTGTATGATAAAGTCATTCATACAAATTAACAAAGGAAAATTAGAATTTGCTCGAGCAACGTCGGAGCAGTATAATGATATCATTTGAAAATCTCGGTGAAACCTGCAGATGAGGATATGAAACATGTTCAAAAGTATGCGGAGAAATTTGAGAAAAATATTAAAAAAGACAATTAAGTTTGTTCAAAAATCAAGCTAGATCTTTTTTTCAACAATATTCAGTGTCAAAATCAAATTAACCTTTTATACTCCTTTTACGGACGACCTCCTTCGCACGCTGGTTTCAAGGTGTCGCCATATCTGGGTTAAATTACCGGCCAATATAGAAATAGTTCTTTTCTATATTATCTCGGGTCTGGGTGATGTTGGTACCACATTGTCTCAGATACTCCATAATAAGGGGTTTTAGATACTCATCTCAATTTGAGCAATAAATGCCATGTTGTCTAATTCATTTATTTTATTGTATTGATGTTGATGTTGCAGAACGGAAATGTCCACTCCGAAATATCAGTTATTACTTTCTTTATTTAAGGGGTTAAATATTACATGAATTTTCTTTATTTCAGAATCATAACCGAATATGTGAGCGTATTGGAGGTTAATGGAGCATTTACACACCCTTCTCAATTAATGTAGTTTATCGTAAGCCTGCCTATGAGTTATTGAATAAAAAATAGATAATTTAATAATTTATTTGATTTATAAACTCCAACCTTGTCACTTCAAAGTTCTCTCCGTATTTTGACGTCTGGAATAAAACTTGTAAATCCGAAAAAAACGATCACATCAATCCGAAATGAGAAAAGTTCATTTTTCCTGTCGACTCATGGAACTCTAAAGGTGAACGTCCATATTTTCCGCACGGACGTGACGGCCATCTCTTTGTATAGCATTCCGTACACTATACTGCGACCGCACCTCCGAGGCGAGCAATGAAAATGCTGACTGTGTCATACGGATTACTTCTATAAAGCTACCAAACATTATTTTACAACGTTATGTCAAAACTGTTGACACGATTCTGAAAGTCAAAACTGACTAGTAGATTTTTTAAGACATCGGAAAAACCGCACAATCCGTTGCGTGTAGTGACTAGTGAGGTCGGTGCGTTCGTGCGGAGACAGTTGACGACCACCATAAGCAATCTTCGGGAAATATCGTTCGCTTCATAAAAATAAAAGGTGTTTCTTCTAGCTATAATAAACTATTTTGTGTTATAGCAATGACCAAGCCAAAAGTTATCAGCCTAATTATATGATCGAACGGAAGTCCCAAAAGTGTTGCAACTATTAATTTGTTTTATCCCTGAGGGTGCTAGCCCTCTCGTGCCGCATGCAAACGTTAAAAAAGAAGCGCATATTAAAGGCGCTTTCATATTCGACGTTTAAAGTACAGCTGATGAACGGAGTTGTGCTAAAACAATATTTTGTGAAGATAAAGATTTCTTTGAGTAATAATTATATTTTATAGAAAAAATAGCCTGCATTATATTTCTATGCTATCTTTATAATTACGTGTTAGCTACAATCGTTTAAAGTATTTTTATTTTGAGTAGTATACGACAGATAATATTCCTCTGCAGAGTCATAATCTTAAGCTTGGTTCCGTTGCGTAACTTCGGTGGAGAAAGGTTTCTCATTAGCATTATGGGTACACCGACTCCGAATTTGATTTTTTTTATTAAAAAATCAATTGTATTATTTGTAACATCATCCTGGACAATGTCATTATTATAAGAATTGTAAGCTAATTCATTCGCAACAATTTCCGCTTTAATTTTTTCAGTAATTGTAGCCGCTTGGACATTTTGAGGAGTCAATACTCCGTGGGAATAAAATTCAGGTCTTCAAATATTGACTGTATTAATTCTTCCTCTGAAGCAATAATTTTACCCATCACACAAGAAATCGTCACCCGATCATATTCTCCTGGATTTTTTTTTAATATACTGAAAAATTTTATGGCTTGTAAAATATCGCTAAGTTGGGTTTTCATATTAATAGTCAGTCTAAAAATTTGTATACGTGGCTAGAGGTATGAATTCTTCAATGAAGCATTAATTTCATCTGCATGAGCAGATTCCTATATTTATTTCGTGCAGAGTTTGACAAACATCTCCTAAAAAGAGACTTGTGACAGTACCCATTATCTCAGCGAATCTCTCATAACGTTTTGTCCACAGCTTCAAAGGGTGTTTTGTTGGATATGGTAGGTACATTTATCCATAATAATTAGACAGCAATCGCGCAACACTTGCTTTGTCAGAATTTCGCGTAATAGAACCTGGTTAGTGCTGCAGTTTTGTCTAAATCAATTAGGATTTTGAACGTTATGTGTGCCGTCTTTTCTTCGGGAAGCAGGAGGATCGCTCTTGTAATATGTTTGTTATGTGCCCCCGAGGCACCTAAGAAAAACAACTTTACTGCATAAAAAGAGTCGATGTAGACAAATTTATAATGTATCGTATTTCCCTTTGTTAAATAGAAATTTAGAAATTCTCTTCCTTTTAAATATTTATTACGGTAGCTAATTCTGTAGAACAGTGATTAGTTTTGGTATAAAATTCGCGGTTGAATTGGTTCTATATAGTTTCTTTTATAGAAAAAGGGAAATTCATTCCATTCTGTCGCCGGTTGGAGTGATTGCATCATCATTGCATTGTTACTCAAAGTGTGTAAAATGTTTTTAGATAGATTTTTTAAAATATTTTTCCCTAATTCTTAAGAGATCTGAAAGACCACTAAATAAAAACATAATTGCGAAAAAATGACGTAAGAAACGGAGCTAACACTAACCATGCTTCTTAAAGAGAGTTGTCTTTGTGTTGGTCATCGTTAAGAAGGTGAAGAGCCATGCAAGTTCCTTGAAAAATAAGATGCTTGATATCATCAACAGTTTTCATAAAGTAAATAAAGTTGGTCCTCGAATTGTATGGAAAACGGATGTATTGGAAAACGCTGGCATTCTCCATTAATGGGATACCCTTGTATACAACCTCCCTAGAGCAGCAAAGTGAAAGGGAAATATGTAAAAAATTTCTTCTGTTAAGATATCTTTTTCGTATATGTTATAGTGCAGCGGACTTAGAGTTCCCAACAGATGTTTCAAATTTTAATCACGCAGCAAAATATGCTTACCAGATGGAACAATTTTTGTTATGGCATAAATTTCTGTATCTCGTACTGTTTCATCGATCTCTTATAGCTTCATATGATGGAGACCAAATACCAAAATTAATTATAGCTCATACTGTGTCCAGTATTAAGAAATTCAAAATAAAAAATAATTATTAATATCCATTCAGTAGTTTCATTGACGCGTACATACAAACAGCTCTATCTGTTAATATACTGTTAATATTACATACAAACAGATAGAGAAAAATATTAAAAATCATTGAGCTGTATTCTGTTGGTGTTTTAGTATAGCCCTGAACCAACTTGAAGGAAATATACTATATTTAATGTACACACTATTTTACCATTTTATTATAGTATAGATGATATGTGCAAAGGTATTTAAACTTATTGGAAATCTCAATTTGTAAATACCTATATAAAAAATTGCCTACTAGAGCTATATTCTAAGAATTTTTCTTTTTCAAATTACTTACCAAACCTTATTTCATTTCACATCTACAATATATTGGGTAAGTTTTAATGAGTATACCAACAGTTTTCAAAAGTAAATATTAACATCCAGAGACTCAACATACTCTTTTCAATTTATTTTTACTAACAAAAACCAATTTCAAATCTTACGTTTTCCAATAATAATTAATTCAAGACATTGAAATATATAATAATAAAAAGTAATATGATAGTTTTGAAGTAGTAAGATATATAGGGATGAAACGCAATGTTATTAGGAGTATCAGAGACATGACAAAATTATTAATTAATTAAGCCTTGTTTTTTTTGTCAATAATACCTGCCAATAAAAAGAGGAGGGACCGCCTAACCTTATTGTTATAAGTCTATCCATAGCTATAATAAAGTTTTATTGATTCTATCAATGAATATGTTAATATTCTTATACAATGTTCTCTGAATTATTAGTTAGACTAAATTAACAAGGCAATAAAAGCTATTTCGAATAAAAAAACAAACCAAATTGTGTGATTATATATATAAATAATAATAAATATTTAATTTTAAAAGAAAAGCAACAGACTTATTGATTAAAAAAAAATCTATAGCTATAGCTAGGATCAAGATTAGAGAGTTAGGCTGTCGCTCTGCTGATCGTATATATATATATGTAATGGAATTTAATTTAGTGGTTGAAGAATGATATGAGAGTAATAAAAGTGATAGCGAAGGAGGAAAAGATAAAATGCGCCGATTCTAAAGTAACTAGAGTAGACTAGAGTGGGCTATAAACATCTCCATCGAGACGAACTCACTATTAAGATCCTCCTACATACTATAGTCAAAGTCAGGTCGGAGAAGGTCTCCGTTGCGCTGGACTGATCAGATAAAACCCTTGATCAACATATCTGTAATGGAGGATTGACGGGTGTTCGTTTGATGGATGCTCGGTTCGGGACAAGTGGAGGGTTGTAGTGCTATGCGCCTCTCAACGTTGTCTGCTTGACCACGACTGCTCTGACAAGAGCATACGAGGAAGAAGAAGAGTGGGGAGATGTAAAAATTAAAAAGTCTCGTACATACCGATGACAGTAAGGTTAACACCGATGTTCCTGGTTGGTGCTATCAGAAAGTCGACTCGGCAGTGATACAGTGCTTGGTCGCGCTCCGTCAACTCCGAGATGGTGATAGTAGACGGCTGCTGCAGCACATCCGCTTTCAGTCGACCACCAGCGTTAAATGTTGGACTTATCCAAGCGCTCTCTATTCTAGTGTCGTAGCTGAATAAATGATTAAATACTTTATTGTATGCTATAATTGGAGGAGGAGCTCTATGGCGCAGTAGTTAGTGCGTTCTGTCTGATATACGGTTATTTAGCAACTTTCGCAAAGGCCGATCATACGATGAGTGATCAAAAATTTATCATCTCTAGTTCCTCCGTACAAAGCACATTAAGACGTTGTTCCCGGTCGTATCTGCAGTTGTTAAAACCCACTAAGACGTACTGGGCCCACGTGGTTGGTTATGACTCATTCTTATTTATTCTCCCTATTCGATTAGAAGCGATTCCAACCATAGGGAAGGCCTGAGTTCTAGCAGTTTAGCAAATATTAAAGGGCTGGTGATGATTATAATTGACAAATAGTATAAACCAGCGGTCTCATCGCAGTAAGGTTTTATTTAGTTGAATAGCGCCATTCAATTGTACGTCTAGTTTTCTAGTTGAATCACTATGAAATTTGGACCGTACAACAAGACGGCTGATTCAAAAACCGCCAAAACATTTAGTTCAATGTAAAAAAAAATAAACTCGAAATTTGTGTGAAAGTTGTTTGGTGTACGTTAGCATCTTGTATTGGATCATATGGACCATTCACAGCCCAGTCGTGAAACTTACCCCACACGCTAAATCTATATGTCTCGATAACAGATCGTAACAAGGAGTATTTGAATATAATTTGAATTACCCACTACACTCTTTACTTTGTTTTTGTTTTAATCCTACCAATTAAATTCGATATTCCCTATGAATAGACAGTTAATTGAACTTGTCGCCCAATAAGCCAACTGATGAGACCACTCGGCTGCGACATATAGAGGTAAAAACTGTATGATGTGACTTGATGATTTCATAAGTAGATTCAGTTATTGTCAGTATAAATAAGCGAAAAAGTGTAATTATCTGCTGATATTTGCCTTATACTACTTAATATATCTCATGTCGATAGTTGATACTCATTTAAATGAACATGTAATACTAACTTTTAATATTATTTTGATGATTCTGCTTACCTGAATATAGGCGCGTTGTTTTTGTACCATACGAGAAGCATCAATTCATCACCGGAGTCAGTGGAAGTGTCACACGAGAGCGTCGCACTATCGCCTTCTATAGATTCAAGGTTTGACACTGGACCTGCATCATTTTTTTTTATATGACAAACAATAAATACACACTCAGTCTTAACTAATTTCTTTAGAATTGAAGCTTTCGAGTTTTTATTACTCAACAATAGTTAAAGTGTATAATTGTAAAAGTGTCTCCATTTTTATAAAATATTTAGTGGATACAAAGTAAATTCTTAGTAGACCTTGCAGTGCCAAATACTTTGTCTTTAAACCTAAGTGATCCTTAAACCTAAAAATTGATTTGGCAGTAACCCGAAAATATTTTTATTTATAGGTCTTGTAAAGAATATGACATGAAATTTAATTCTATTGATATTTTTCAATGTACCATTACTTCTCTAAAAAAGCTTGTGAAAAAATGATAACGACTATAAATTAAAAAATTATAACCGGTAATAATTTTTGAATTAATAATCGTAATATTTTTTTTAAATTTAATTTAATCAATAATGTAATTTTAATATTACCAATTATTTAACTTTGACATTTTCTGGCGACATTATAGTGATAATTGAAACATAATTCAAATAATAATAATTTAATATAAAAATTGACATTTTTATTGTAAATACTGTTAGTGAAAACATCACTGATTTTGTTATTTTAAAATGTTTCCCAAATATAATAAAATAAATAAAAAAACCCTTAATTACTAAATCATGTATCAAATCATCAGCAAGCATTTTGAATCCTACCATTTGTGTGTTAAAATAATTTAATGTGTTGACTTTTTGCATTAGATTAAATCAGTGTAATTTCTGAATTAAGAGTTGTAATTTTTGTTGGATAACATAAAAATATGTTATGCGATACACAAAATACAAAATCACATTTCCCTCCCTTCCTTTTTCGTTGCAATTTACTTCCAAAAAGTCACTCTTGATTTTATTCAGTATACTTAGAGATACAGCTGTTACTCTTTAGAATAGAAAAACAGTGAGGCAGCGCGGGCAGCGGATTTAGCGTGTGGGGTAAGTACATATGTTGTTTAGCAAGTGAACACAGCCAGCTCCCTTATAATGTAACTCTGGCAACTTGTGAGGATAACCGAAAAAATTGTTCACAGAGCTCTGTGGGCAAGCGGTCATCGTGCAGCTTTGGTAATCTGTAACTCATTTCTCGTTGTATTCCACCTTTATGGTCACTAATGCTTACGGAATACGAAATAAAAGTTTTTTGATAGAAAATCAAGTTTAATAATGGAGCTCAGTGGAGATTGCTAATATTGACGTTTCAAAATTGCGAACCATTGATAAAATATGAATTAGTTATTTTGGCACAATGGAATTGCGCACTCATTTTTGGTGATTACGACTTTAGATTGTCAGTTGAGTTAACGAATACGCCCACAGATCCTCGTAGCTTTACGGAACTTACAATGGCACTAACGCACGGGCAATGCTATACCCACTGCACGCGTCTCTCCTACTGTATCTGTACACTCTATTTGATTCAATGCTAACTATAAAATAAGTCTCAAGGTCTCAATAATAAACATCAATTCGTTGCATAATATTGTCAAACTTGCGGTAAGTTGTTACCATAATTTTATCGTTTTACTCTAAAGATGAACGAGTAATTTGGATAGAGGTAAGCAAATAAATAAAAAAAGTATTGCAAACTATTTTGTGTATCATATTAAATGAAAAGGCAAATTATAAGTTATTTAAAATTAACATTAACTTACCGTCCGCCCCCGGTACGAACGCATGCACGCGTGCTATGACACTCAGCAGGAGGCACAGCGGCGCGGTCGCGCGCATCCTACGCCCCTCCCATGCTCTCACGCATCGCCCGCTATGCGCGCGCGTTCTTACGTGAGGGCGCGATACGGTCTCTTCACTTTTCTTTTATGTATCATCGTCTCAGCAAAAATTAACCTGAAACAACAAAAACATACCTTATTATGATTACAGTTCTATAAATGAAAAAGCACGTAACGTTTTGAAACTATTGCCTTTTTTATTACTAATGTAATTTTTATGGCATCCAAAATATAGCCTCTATGGCCGATCTGTATTCTCAACGTGGGTATTCACAGAAAAATAATAGCATCAATAAAAGCGTTCTGTGAATCGAAAACGATTATAATTGCCGTTGATTCAACCATATTCAGATGGTTCGGCTGAATGTAATATTTATGCTACAGTTTTTTAGTCATGTAAAAATGTTGTACGTACGTTAAACTTATTTTGTGTGTTAAACTAAGGTGTTAAACTGTATTTGTATTTTTGAAATAGTGATAATATGATGATGTAATTATAATATAAATGTAATGGTATTTGTATGAATAATCGTGTTTCCGCATTTTTTTACTTAATTATTATAATTATGATTTCAAACTTTGCATGGCTATCTATTGGCTAAATATGTTAAGCAATTTTTTTCCATTTTTATTTACGAACTTATTACGATGTTTAATAGCAAATAAATTTGTATCTGTATTTGTAATATTGGGTTGGTCGCAAAGTTGTTTCGTTTATTGAATCAAAATATAACTCGATATTTTATCAAAATATCTAAATTTAATTATATTGTTAGCATTCTGATCATATAGATTGTGGCATTTTTCACACAGGTAGTTATATTTTGACCTTTGTTATCGAAAAACTGGTCCTGGTGTTATTTGACGGTCTAATTTGCAATGAAGGTCATCCCGTCCAAAGAATTTTGAAAAAACCAATTTTAGCATTATCATTAGGCCAATATACATTCTCGATGCATATCACACAATTATCGTCTCTTTTCAATTGCATTTATAGATGGTAAAAATACAAATATGACGAAAATATTGTTTTCGATTTGTCATATTTATCAGAAAATAATTTTAACAGCCTAATTTTTAATGCCATTTGTTTAAATACGTCCTTTTCTAGATCTTACTTGACAGTTATTTTATATCTATTTCAACTAGTTTTCGCTTCTTCACCTTCATGCACAGATTGAATACCCTTACTAATGAAGCATCGACTACAACGAATAAGAGGCCATCTACACAATCTTATCTAAATCATTTCTATCAATGCCCTTTAATATAAATCCAACTAACCATTGTAGCAAGAGATCTCAGACGAGGTCAAAATACTAGGTGTATCAAAGTGAAAAGTTCATTCAAGGACTTATCTAGATATGACGAAAATATTCATATTTATTTTACCACACAAGCTTAGACTTAAATTTAAAATCTTTTGTAAACGAAAGGTCAAGAATTTTATCGACGTGCGAACAGTCGTGAATCACAAAACTACAATGTAAAGATGAAAGATAATGGTCCAATCAGTGTAGTAATGCTAACTATTCTTTGGAAATTATAGCATACAATGGTTTTGAGATCAAGATGAAAGTTGAAGCTTATGCAGTCCGTTAATATACAGTCGACCTCACGTCAGGTTATACAAATTTGTCTTCTCCACTTAATTTTAAACCTTAATCCTTTGACTGTAGAGTTCAAATGCAACTGGAGAAATATGATATATTGTGGTAACCTGACATGCAACCGTGTTTAAGATGGATTACCGAATTATTGAATTATAAATTCATTTTGTGGATTTTATCAGTAGTGCATAATAGCTTTTGCCGTTTTTACTGACTCTAAGAGGTAAAATAAATTTAAATATATCAAGTTATTGTTTCGAATAAAAAAATATGGGTTATATTTTAATGAGTTTTCTTGCACGAAGGATAACCTTCAAGTGCAAGAAATATATAAATATTTCATCTGACTATATGATAAGCAGTTATAAGCATATGTTCTTCTAAGGTTCTACTCAAATCAAAAATTATGAGGCATCGCATTGTAGTTTTTGCATCAGCAATTCCAATGTTTTAGTTTCGGTTGAGATAGTTAACTAAATAAACTAGAAGACTCGACGAAATTTCTTCGTGCCGTAGGAATAATAATAATCTTTGTGATTCGATGTTGTAATAATTATATTTTCTTTACTACGTGCGAAGTACCCTCTTATTCACAGGTATCCGTTTCGTAGGAGCCGGGATATGAATTTGGTAATCGTTGATTACTTATTTGAGTAGCTCGGTGGCTTAGCGGATAAGCGTCGCGGCCCGCGATCGTAGTCGTTAAGCAACTTTCGCAAGGGTCGGTTACAGGATAGGTGACCAAAAAATTATTATCCCTGCAGTGAGGACGTAAAAGGGCTGGTGATGATGATGATGATTACTTATTTACTTGTTTATATACTTAGTTTTGGTCCTTTTTGAGGAGAAATTTGAAAACCTTGAAAAATTGATTCAAGATCTTAATGCAGAAAGCAACCAAATAGATAAACAAAAGTGGAGGTGGTCAGGTCACACGATGCACGATGCACAGGGAAAACGAAGCAAGGCAAATTACTGGATGGTACCCAAGGGACAGCAACAGGAGCAGAGGAAGACAACGGGCGAGGTGGATGGACGATCGAAAATTGACAGCTGGCCCCCTGTGAATAAGAGTAGCAAGGGACAGACTGCGGTGGAAGTTGCTGGAGAAGGCCTATGCCAAGAGGCACACCAAGAAGAGAGACATTTTGTGAATCCGATAACTTTATAATGGGATTTTGTTTCGACTTAGGTATTAATTATTATTATTTAGCAATGATTTCCTTCAAAGTATGTGTAAGTTTTTAGAAAAGAATATATTTATTCCACTAACCGAACGATTTCCTGGGGGTAAAAGTCATTACGTCGCTGGTGAAGAGAATGTTACTTTTTTAAAACATTGAGGTTTCGGGTCACTCGCACACAAAAGTTATTCAAAACTATTTCCATATTTCACATAATGAGTTGTTATTATGCTGTCATAAATCTATAAAAGGAGTAACATAACTGGCAAAACGTGTTATTCAACAAACGAGTTTTATTGTATTTTTGAATACTCGTAGTTTTCTATCAAAGTTCTTATTTGACCAAAGAACTAGTATGCAAATTATGTGAATGACGATTTACCTACTATGTTAGACAACAAGTCGTTTCAAGATCTTACGCTATGATAAACGGAAGATGAAAATCGTATGCGTCAGTTATTTGCTCATCATTCTGCTCAACTTGTAATATCTGAGGAAGTTCTTATTCATGAAAATGTTCAAATGAATAAGATATTAGGAAAAACATCGTAAGATTCGTTATTAAGTAGCTAAAACTCGCACAATGGATATCTGAAATAATGTAGGCACTACATACAACACCCAGGCAAAATCGAAAATTTCATTATCTATTTGACGCAGACTGACTAATGAACGAAACAAGGCTTGATAATTTTATCTATTGTCTGATTTATAAAGTTGTTTTATAACTCGTACGACATGATACCTATCAATTCTATATGTCTTGAACGTAAATTTGGAAAAGTTCTTATAATATTGTTATAATTATATCAATTCAATCAATTATATTAACATATTAAAATAAAAAAATAAAAACAATCTGCTACATGCAGAAACCTTTGAGTACCTATTTTATAATAGAAAAATATTGGGTATTGTCGAATAGAATGCAATGACGTCTGTGGTTTCAATTCATTACAGTTTAGACAGTCATCTTACACAATAGTTTGTACACAAATGCCACTTTAATACCTACACACCTTAGGGTTGTCAAAATTATATGCTTATATAGAAATTTGATTTATTATTATATATTATATCGATATTGCGTTCGCAATGCTTTATTTATGTTTATACTAAATAAA